TGTACCTCAGCGAGGAAAGGATATTATCCTTTTGTCTTTAAGTCATTTAACTATTAAATATTTTGTAATTTTACTTCTATTCATTTAAAACTGTTTTAGTCTAAAGTTTCATAGAGTAATAATACCTCTTAGTTCCTATTTAAAGAAGCCAGCAGTGAGAATTCTTACTTCCTGTAATGAAAATTTGTACTTGTGAAACTGAAATTTTAACTTGTGAAACTGAAATTTTAAAACATTAGCTTTGTTTGAGAATAATCCAGTGTTTTGTCTTTTTCTAAAATTCTTCTACGGTGCTCATGTTTTCCTCTTAATTACGCCATGGGATGTTCTTAAACTTACAATTTTTTTGCTGTAATTATCAGAAACTCTCTTTTAAACTGCTTTGAAAAATATCAGGGAGTCACACCCTTTGTCTCACTTGCTAAACTTCCTCAATAAAGCTAACAAAAGCTTTCAGAGGTGGAATTTTATACTAGCAAATGTCTATTCAGGCCTGTTAAATACAGTGAATAAACTTGCCTGCTACAGCAAGCATTCCACCCAAATTGACTAGGTGTGGCTTTTATTCATTGTTCAGTCACACTAAATAGAAGCTGTTTTCTAGCTACCTTCAAATTTAGATTGACATTTCCTTTATCTGAGGGCTTATAATAAGCAAACTATACTCAGTTTTTCAAAAGCAGATATGCTCTTCTGGTACCCTAGAAACAGATCAAAGTATGCTTTGTGTAGAGACATGAAGTTCAAGTCAGTGATATCAAACAGGTCTTAATATGCAACCACACAAACATTAGAACTTGAAATTTAAACAAAAGCTTGACTATTTTAGGGAAAATAATCAGATTATGGGGGGATGTTAAAAGGGATAATGAATTGTTTGGGGAGAATAGGTATCCAAGAAATTAAGTGAAAGCATATGTTACTTCTATAGTAATATCAAGATCTGTAATTAAGAACATTTCTTTTGAATCAGACTAGTGTCACTTAAAATTGTCACTAGCTGAATTACAATATGCCTCCAAAGCAGCTTTCTAGACCACAAAGGAGGATCACATCAACCATTGTGGGGTTAGTTTTTTTTGTACACATAGTAACTACAGAAATTAATCTTTTATCAGTTTACCGCATCATAACAGCTATTGTTAAATAATCTACAAGTTAGAAAAGCAATTTCCAATTGTTCCCTGTGGTATCTAAGTGATGTATCTTGTGATATGCTATAAAATAAATTGTATTCCTGTGAGTCATATCAGTCATGTTCTGCAGCCTGAAATCTGAAGTCGCCCTCACTGAGGAATTAAGAGAACTGTATTCTATTATAGAAAGCACAGAGAATCAAATTAGAAAGCACAAGAGGGCAGAATACTCAATGTCTCTGTTATTAGACTCTAAAAAAGCCACTCCCTATTCTCTAGTGTAAGCCAGTATGATCAATAATGCATGAAGGGTTGAGGCTTGAAATGGAGAGACTTTACTGGAGGCTGAATAGATGATGAATAGTCAGCCTTCTGTCTTTATCCCTACTTTACCACAGGCTTTGCTCTCTGGTTCCCTGAAACAGGGCATTGATTAGTGCCCTGATGCTGTCCCTCGACCTGTGAAAAGATACATGCTCCAGCTCTATAGGAAATGCTGGGTTCATGTATGTGATAAAATCTGGCTCTTATTCTGTTTAGTCTGAAGTTGGGACAGCCTAAGAGAGGCCGAGAGTAGTAACAGTGGCTGAAAAGCTCCCTCAATTTATTCCCCACTTACTCACATTTTTGGAGTCACCAAGCACATTTATTTCTCTGTGGCTTTGTTCATACTGTTCTCAGTATCTAGAAGATTCTTTTTCATACCCCTTTAGGAGTAGGAAGGAACAGAAATACTGCAGTGTGTGAAAGCCCAGGAAAGAATTTGAAGAAGGAATTTGACCCTATAAAGTAATCCTGAAGGCCAAGGACATCTGAGGAGCTCACTGGTGAACTTCTGAGAACTAATTTATAATGTAATTAATCAGCACTAAATTCCAAGGCAAATATTTTTGGCAAACTAATAGTATAGAACATGAAATCTATTTGTTTTACTTAAATTTGTCTAGGAAATCTAGAAAAAGAGAATCATGATGCAAAATTTTAGTGACTCATCAATGCTCCCACCACCTGTTTTGTGCATTGTCTATAAAGATGGATTAATTAAGGGGTGCCCATCTACACAGATCTCTTTGAGAATCAATTTTATAATGGGATACATTTTGCTGAGCACAGATTGACCTACTCCCATATTTTCATTGCATCAAAATACCATATACATTTTTCAACTTTCAGTGTGTCTATTACAGTCACTAATGAAATTGGTAACAAAGATAACAAAATTCTTCCAAATTAGTATTTTGATATGATTTAAAGGAAGTGGGCCAGCTGGAATTAGAATAAGACACCACTGAATTAAATTTGAGACCTGGTAGAACTCACCGATCCACAAAAATACTAGACGCTGGTCTTGAAAGACACAATTATCTTTAATTTCTGCAAAGGGAGACTCTATGGCTACATTAAGTTAAAACCACCATCAAATATCTGGCCAGTATTCCTCAAGATTGTCAAGGTCATGGTAAACAGGGGAAGATTGAGAAATGGTCACAGACCAAAGGAGAGAGGGGACAGGATTCAAATAACTGCACTGTGGCACCCTGCACTGGACACTGGAACAGAAAAAGAACACTAATGGAAAAAATGGTGAAGTCTGAATAAAGTCTGGAGTTTATGTAATAATAATGTGTAAATGTCAGTTTCTTAGTTTTGAAAAATATACCATGGAAATATAAGATATTAATAGTTGGGGGAACTGAGTGAGAAGTAATATGGGAACTCTCTGTACTACTTTTCTTTAAATCTAAAATTATTTCAAAATAAAAAGTCTGCTAAAGAGCAACAATAAAACCACTGTCAAAGATGGTTTGAATTAATATCCTAGTATTTGAAGATTTACACGCAATACTAATCAAACCACCCCTCATGTTAAAATGCCCCTACTCCTTTATTACTATTCTTCTATAAACTGAATTCATGCTTAAATACAACCCAGATTTTAAAACAAACACACCTGATTGCTCCCTTCACATGCAGGACAGCTTTGTATCGTCAATTAACATATTAGCCTGTGCCCTAAATCCTCCTGTAACTAACTTCCCAAAGGCCCTGCAAGGTTATTCCAATGTAGATATATATTCATTAAAAAAAAGACACACATACACAATTTTTCAAAGACAATGCTGTGACTTACAAGTGAGGACATCTGAGCGTTTTGGAGCATATACTGCATCTGCTGGGCAAACATAGCTGCAGCAGTCTTTTGTTGAATCAGATTGTTCCGTCCATTAATTTCCAGCTGTGTTTTTAAGTGTGGAGGAGGGTGAAGGTACTTGCAGTTCTCTCTAGTACACCGACCCTAAAAATGAAGAATTAGACAAATTTTCATTAATATTTCTATAAATCTGGTCTGGCTAAGAATAATACAAGTATATCAAGTGCTCAAGAAAATTGAGGGAAATATTAAATAACTGTATACACATAGATATATTTTATAACTTTTAGATCCATTATTCTGGACAATTTTGGCTCTAAAGTTCTTTTTCCTGAATCTATGCAATGTGAGAAACATCTCGAAATCCACTGACATTCTGTTAGCCAAAGAATAAATCTCTACACCTGGCAGCCATGTTGTTCTTTAGGTTCCAGAGGCAATGGCCCTAGATCACTTGGATAATTGAGACCAAAGTGTATGTTGAAGTCTCAGCTAGTTGGATGTTTTATTGATGGTTTAAGCACTTCCAAATAAGATAATATGTCATTTCTGTGGAATCAAACATGTTTTTACTGTTGCCTAATTGTTAACATGCCTGTTGAGTATGGATGGTATTTACTATGTGGTAGCAAAGGATGTCACTGGACAGATATTTATTACATTGTCAAATGTGACCTGTTGTTATGTTTAATTCATGAGCACTATGCAAAGCAGCTAATGATTCTCTCATTTAAATTACTAGGTCCACTATATACATATTTTTTTTTTTTTAAGATAAGCACAACTGCAAGCGGTTCTTTTTCCCACAGATTATAAGATTCTTTCCAGTGGAGGAAAAAAGGCAACTCTTTTTTTTTTTGTTTGGACCCAAGAGTGCAAGTCACTAGACCACCTGAATTCCCAAGAGAAAATTAGTTAGTTCATCAAATGTTTTCACCGCTATGAATTTTCCTTATTTATAATGCTTAAATGATTTATACAATCACTTCTCCATATTTAGTTATCTTGTTATTAAAACATTCCAATATTTCACTGAGAATCAAGGTGATTCCTTCAAAACTTTATAGAGCTATGTATAATGCAAAACCAGATGCACTGCAACTGCTCTTTTAAATGTTAGATTACTGGGATGTTAGATTATGAGATGGCTCTATTATTTTACCTCCCACAGCAAGAAGCTGAATACAACTTAAAACATAGCTTGAGAAATTAAGGTTTGACTATTAGTTTCCATCAGGTTTGACCTTTTGTTTCTCCCACTGATCAATCTTTTAAATCAAATTAAATGATTTATAAAATCAAATAATATCTTAGTTTCAACGTACCTTTACATTTCTCTGCAAATCCTGGGAAAGGAAGAATTTATTGGTAGTAAGAGAATGGTATTAACCCAATCTTTCTGAATTCATAAAAGTAACCTAAGAATAACGACATAATTTCAGTACATATAAGGGCTGTAAGGAAATTCTTATATGCGCTAAAAGTCATAATAATGGAGGGCTTCCACCTGCCCATTGATATGGTTCCCAAGAGAAAATATAAGCTTCTTTTTACATATACCACAACCTGCACCAAGGCAAAGACAGTCACAAAAATTTTAGTCCCCAGATTCTTTGCCCTCCACCTAGCATAGCTAAGGTTAACTGGCTTAGAATTAACAGCCCTGGGAAGCAGTGACACTTGGTGGCTTCCACAAGCAAGCCTGCTAGTTTGTTTATACTTCAGCGTTTCTCTTCCTCCTGCCACACCCTAACATTAAAGATTTTCCCAAAGTACAGTCCTAAAACTTCTGCTCTTCTCTCCAATCTCTTTTGCCTGGAGAAATGAAATTCTTGCAAAATTTCATCTATCACAGTAATTACTCAGATCTTAAACTTCTGTCTCTACCTCTGACCCTTCTTCTGAATTTCTGTCCTCTTTATGACTAACTGCAGCAGCATTTGGAAATCCTGCCCCCTAACCAGATCTAAATAACTCATTCCTGACATTTCTTCTCCTTAGACTATTTTTCCTCTTTCTGCATACATTTAGGACCCTTGCTCCAATTCCCATACCTTGGAACAGTAATATAGCAGCAGTGAAAAAAGAAATTAGGTACCTGCTGAGCGGGAGGGCTTTAGGATTACAAATCCACCTTGATAGCTTTCCCAGACAAGTAGCAAACACAACCATAGACACTTACATAGAACAATTTGTAACTCCCTTCCAAAAAAAAATACAAAAAACAAAAACTGTGTAATGAAGACTGTCTCTTAAATTCAGAAATTCCAAACAATAGATCAGTTTTTTTTGTTTTTTGTTTTTAAGAAAAGGAATTTATTAGGATTTAACCATTTGTTACAATTTAGAGTTTTAACACTTTTTACATTGAAAGCAATCAGTGGGGAGGGAGGGAGGGAGAAAATAGGTGGTATTTAGCACATTTTCTGCCAATCTACAGATAATTACTATCTTCCTTTGTGCTTTTAAAAATTATCCTTTACATATAATAACTTTTCTTAAGTTTTTCCCTGGGAAAATAATGATATTTTTTGTTACAAAGCACAATGATATACAGAAATAAGAAAAAAAGAGAATTACATTTACGAATTACATCAAGTTTAAAACTAAAATATGGAATATGAGGCAGCATGAGATTTAAAAAAAACTTATACATTTATTTATGATATTTTACTTGATTTATAAAGCATTCTCTTTTGAATGACAGAATCTATAATTTACTTCTATAACAAAGAATGCAGATGTATAGCAATACTACCTTACCGGAGACTTAAGCTTGTTAAATTAAGCTTATAAAAGACAAAAATATCTGTATTTTCTATTCAAACAAAAGATGAGAAGACCAAATAATTTAATATCAATACTATCTGTGGAACACAATATTTCAGAAGAAAATCAAGCCCCTTAATTTTTTTTTTCAAAACAACTTTTGAACTCAGGATAATATATTTACATGCATGATATTTGGTGATAATAAATCTCCTCCATATAGTATTCATTCTTCAAGAATCCCAAACTTAATTATATACTAAAATACCTTCCTTGAAGTTTGGAGGTGGGGCAAACTTTTTTTGACATTGGTTTCATTTGCTTTTAGTCCTTGTAGGGGATTAAGGCTTTGGTAACCATGTATAGATGGGATGGGGTAGAGGCAGGGAAGGGATTGCCCCGCACAATATGTAATCACCTTTCTAGTTCATAGTCATAAATGACTCTGCAAACATACCTATGACAGTTGCCATCCACTGGCAGAGCTGGCTATATCCTAAAAACAGCAGCAAAGACTACATATACAAACAAAATTTTAAAAAGCATTGAGGTGATTAGAGTGCAGACTCATTTCTGCTTGCTCCAATTTCACTCCTTTTCGATTTTCTTTGGCCTTAAAAACAAAACATTCTCTTCTGGTCTTTTGCTATGAAACTGAATTAGGAAAATAAAGTGATTAAATTGAAAAGTGATTCTCTGCTGAAATAAGTGCTACTATACCTATGAATCTCTCAGCTTCCCTTTCCCATCTACTCTTTTTGAAAATGTACACAAAAAGCAGCAGAGGGATAAAATGGTCAATGAAATTTCTAAAATACATCTGCATCAAAAAGTTGATGACAGACAAAGAAAAAAGTTGCAGAGCACTTATAACACTTCCAAAATTCAATCTGTTTCCTTTTCCCTACTTTCAGGCTTTTCACAAATGAGTGCAAAGCCTTTGACTGAGAAAGAAAAGTAGCATTGTAGAGATTTAAATCCCACCTAAGTCTTGGGAGCTATGAGAGTGAGAGTCTGTCAGATACAAGACATTCTGTGCACTTGCAGGGTGGAAAAAACCTCTGAAATGTACATTTTTGTTGTTGTTGTTCGTGAGAGAAAATTTTACCATCAATCAGAATAAGAAAAGAACCCTAGGAAGCTAAACAGGGTAATGTTTAGCTTTATCTTAACAGAAATAGCTGTTTGCAAAATGACTTGCTTCTTCAACTACATTTGGAACTATGGGGGAAAAATCCTTCTCTCAAATACAATGATAACTGGATTACCTTTTCAAAGACATCTCGCTGCTCTGCTAACCTATTAAGAGTTAAAAGTTAAATGTTAAATAAAAGCAATGAAAAGATGATTTGTTCTACAAAAAAAATTATTCTATTTTAATGATAATATGTTCAATGAAAAAATCCTATCGATTATATTGCCCCAATGAAACATACTTACTTGCATAGACATGGCCTCTCAGCAATTTTAGAATTACAAATCATACTATTAAGTTTCCTGGTTCCTACAACCATCACAGACCTTTTAAAGGCTAAGAATAATCTGAAAGAGCTAAGAGTGAGGCACATCAACGTAAAGTGAGTATTAGATGTCAGCATACTAATGGCAAATTCTCACTTTCTTCTTTTTAGGGTTCTGTCTTTATAAAAATAGTTATAATCTGCATTACTTTCTCCTCCAATGTTGTACTATCTATGAATATAGATATACATGCATAAAGAGCATCTTTAAAATCTTATATACAATTTTAATTTAAATTTGAGATGCAGACAAGAATTTTTTTTTAAAGTTTATAGTAAACCATTTCCTGAATATATTGAAGGCAAAATTAATGAGGCTCAACATAGACCTCATGGAGAAGGCCAGCCAAGTACACACTCTCCCACTGCAGTCAGTCCTGCATCTAATTTCCTTATGCTGTTGAAGTCTGCTTTCTTGACATCCCAAATACACATATACAGGGCAATGACTTTGGAGCAAGTCAGACACCAAGTTCAAATAGGTAAGAAGCTGGGAGGAGGGCAGAATGATTTTCTTGCCTGTCTCAAAAAAGCTTTCAAATTGCGACCTCCAGAAGATGAAGGGAGGAATAGGCTCAACAATCACACCAATGTTCTGAAAGAGCTCACTAAGATAACTTGATTACCAGAATCAAAACATTTAGGGCTGAAACAGATTTTAAGGAACATCTTGTACATCTTTCTTTTACAGAGAAAGTGAAGGACAAAGAAGTGATATGACTTGTCCTAATTAATAAGCAGCTCAGTATGGATAGAAGCCAAGTTTCAGATTCTCACTACCCTGTATAGATTTTCAGTTCAAATGACTCTTCTTCTGTAAAAATTTTTCTTAGCCCATCTCCCCACCCCCACTTT